CAGATGTTCCCTTTCCTGGCCACTACAGCCAGGGGACACATCTAACCAAGCCAACCTGTGCTTGGTTAGATGGTGTGAAGGACAGGGGAGACATTGAGGTCCCCTAAGGTCTCCATGAAGAGAACCTGTCACCTGCCCAATGCTATCACATAGGGATTTATTAACCCTCTGTGACAGCAATCAAGTAAAAATAAATAAAAGACAGAAGTTTTAAAAATAAAATTATAATAAAATATATTTTTGAAAAAAATAGCAGTGACCCCTAGTTGCCCCGCGCACCTGTGCAAACGAAAGCCCAGGATGTGCACGCATATGTAAACCGGGATGTGCACGCATATGTAAACCGGGATGTGCACGCGTATGTAAACCAGGATGTGCACGCGTATGTAAACCGCGGTCCCATCACACGTGTTACATATCGCCGTGATCATCAGAGTGAGAATAATGATTCTAGCACAAGAGCTCCTAGTTAACTCTGAACTGATAAGCTGGAAACATTTTTTAAGCGTCACCTATGGTGATTTTGAGCACCATAGTTTTTGGCGATATTGCAGGCACAAGCAATTTTAAGACATGGAATGTTTTGTATCTATTCGATGTAAACTCATCTTTTATATTTTAACCCAAAAATGGGTATTATATTGTGTGTTTTTGCACTAAAATCCCTGAAGCATCAGAAAGGAGGAAACCCAGTCTTTGATCATGTCCATGGCTTCCAGACTTCAGGCAAAGCATCAGAAAGGAGGTAACCCGGTCTTTGGTGATGTCCATGGCTTCCAGACTTCAGGCAAAGCATCAGAAAGGAGGAAACCCAGTCTTTGGTGATGTCCATGGGTTCCAGACTTCAGGCAAAGCATCGGGAAGGAGGAAACCCAGTCTTTGGTGATGTCCATGGGTTCCAGACTTCAGGCAAAGCATCGGGAAGGAGGTAACCCGGTCTTTGGTGATGTCCATGGCTTCCAGACTTCAGGCAAAGCATCAGAAAGGAGGAAACCCAGTCTTTGGTGATGTCCATGGGTTCCAGACTTCAGGCAAAGCATCAGAAAGGAGGAAACTCAGTCTTTGGTAATGTCCATAAGTTCCAGACTTCAGGCAAAGCATCAGAAAGGAGGAAACCCAGTCTTTGGTAATGTCCATGGGTTCCAGACTTCAGACAAAGCATCAGAAAGGAGGAAACCCAGTCTTTGGTAATGTCCATGGGTTCCAGACTTCAGGCAAAGCATCAGAAAGGAGAAAACCCAGTCTTTGGTAATGTCCATGGGTTCCAGACTTCCGGCAAAGCATCGGGAAGGAGGAAACCAAGTCTTTGGTAATGTCCATGGGTTCCAGACTTCAGGCAAAGCATCGGGAAGGAGGAAACCCAGTCTTTGGTAATGTCCATGGGTTCCAGACTTCAGGCAAAGCATCGGGAAGGAGGAAACCCAGTCTTTGGTAATGTCCATGGGTTCCAGACTTCTGGCAAAGCATCGGGAAGGAGGAAACCCAGTCTTTGGTAATGTCCATGGTTTCCAGACTTCAGACAAAGCATCAGAAAAAAGGAAACCCAGTCTTTGGTAATGTCCATGGGTTCCAGACTTCAGACAAAGCATCAGAAAGGAGGAAACCCAGTCTTTGGTAATGTCCATGGGTTCCAGACTTCAGGCAAAGCATCGGGAAGGAGGAAACCCAGTCTTTGGTAATGTCCATGGGTTCCAGACTTCAGACAAAGCATCAGAAAGGAGGAAACCCAGTCTTTGGTAATGTCCATGGGTTCCAGACTTCAGGCAAAGCATCGGGAAGGAGGAAACCCAGTCTTTGGTAATGTCCATGGGTTCCAGACTTCAGACAAAGCATCAGAAAGGAGGAAACCCAGTCTTTGGTCATGTCCATGGGTTCCAGACTTCAGGCAGTCATTGCCAGTAAAGGATTCTCAACAAAATATTAAAAATGAACATTTTATTTATGATTATATTCACCTGTCCAATTACATTTGGTCCCTTGAAGAATGGGTGGATGGCTACTCTTAAGAGCTGTAATTCCTAAACCCTTCCTCCAATGTGGATGTACATACCCTCAAAGGAAACCTGAGAGTGCGCACTGTCCGCCCATATCCATTATAGAACTAGAGCTGGAATATGTTTTGGTAAATAACTGAAAAAAAAAAAATTGTGCCTGTGTCCAAATATATATATCAAAATGTAAAATTAAAATAGTTACATAGTTAGTCTGGCTGAAAAAAGACAAAAGTCCGTCCAGTTCAACCATAGAAAAAAAAAGTTATAATCCTACACCCACAGTTGATCCAGAGGAAGGCAAAAAAAAACCCAGCAAAGAATAATTCAATTTGCTCCTGCAGGGGAAAAATTCCTTCCTGATCCCCCGAGAGGCAATCAGATATTCCCTGGATCAACTTTACCTATAAATGTTATATCCAGTTATATTCTGTGTATCCAAGAAAGAATCCAGGACTTTTTTGAAGCAATCCACTGAGCTGGCCACAACCAACTCTTGAGGGAGTCTATTCCACATTCTCACAGCTCTCACTGTGAAGAAACCTTTCCGTGTTTGGAGATTAAATTTCTTTTCCTCCAGACGTAAAGAGCGCCCCCTTGTCCTCTGTGATGACCTCAGGGTGAATAACTATACCGAGTTCACTATATGAACCACTTATGTATTTATACATGTAAAATAAAAGTAGGAGATAAAATACTTACCTTACCCCCAAACTTCGACCTGCAGTGCCTAGGGGAGGTCGATGCCATGTGTCTTCTGTCAAAATCCTGGGATTGCAGAGGGTCATAAATCTTACGAAAAGATGCCCTTGTACAGTGCTGAAATATTGTCTTGTGAGATTTCGTATCTTAGCGTTTTCAGGATTTCACCGAAAGTTCCATGGTGCCCCTCTCACCTAGGGGTGTAAGGTAGTATACAGTATATCCTCTCATAATGTGGGGGTTTTATTATCTGTAATTAAACAAGTACCTGGGGATGGGGGTTCTAATGAATATGCTTACCTTGCGTTTTGATGCAAGGACCCCTTTAGTGATTAGAAAAGGGAGCTGCCCAAGCCAATTCTGACATTTATTACATACTGTACATGTAAAAATCATCTTTTTTTTTTTTTTTGCTTGAAAATTATTTAGAACTTCAACATACATTTTTAATCTGAGGCCCTAGAGAATAAAATGGTAGATTTTGCTTTTTTTTTTATAGATAATATGTGTGCAGCAGTTTTTCAAATGCCATTTTCTGGGGAAAAAAATACACTTTAATGAATTTTAATGCACGAAAATACAATATAATACCCAATTGTTTGGTAAACTATAGAAGATGATGCTGAGTAAATAGATACCTAACATGTTACACTTTAAAATTGCGCACGCCCATGGAATGGTGACAAACTAAAGTGCTTAAAAATATCCATAGGAAAGGTTTAAACGCCTTTAAAGGTTACCAGTTTAGAGCTACGCAGGAGGTCTGGTGATAGAATTATTAGTCTCACATTGGCGTTCGCGGCAATACCTCACATGTATGGTGCAATCACCATTCACATATGGGTGCGGGACCTACGTATGCATTCACCTTTGCGCATATGCACGAGGGGTGCAGGGGTGTTCAAAGCGGTAGAAGGGGTGATTAAAAAAAAAAACCTATCTGCAAGACAAATTCATAATGGAATAATGAGGCATTACATACTAGCACATTATGAAAGACTTACCCCAAACCGAAGCCCTCCAGCAGCACGCTGCCAGCACTGAGAGGGTTTCCATCTTCACCCAGTCTTCCTTCTGGGTTCACGGGCTGCGGCTATTTGTCAAGCCTCATTGATGTCGCTTCCACGCATGCGCATGGGAGCCACGATGGCGGCACAGCGCTCTGAAGAGACAGCATACTCAGTATGCCATCCTTTCAGAGTTCAGTGTACATGCGGTAAGTCTTTATTATAAGTTTCCCTGTAGGTACAAATTTTTAAAAAATGAGTTTACTACATTAATTTTTTTTCTTGTTTATTTTATTTAAAATAATTCACACTGTTTGTTTAAAAAAAAAAAAAAGAGATCACCTTTATTGCTATCACAAGCGATGAACAACATCCCCTGTGATAGCATGGCCAGTGACAGGTACTCTTTACTGAAACATCTGGGGTCTATTAGACTCCAGATCTCTCCTCTGCCCTGATCCTGTTACTAGCCGGATACTTCTTGTAAACAATATTCCAAAACCGGAAGTGACAAATTCCTCATCGTTCCCTATTTCATATAACATGGAGATGATCGGGAAACATCCCCTCATCTCTATGGCCAGTGGGGGCACCTTCTGCCACATGTAAAAGTGATCCAGCAGCTGTATAGCCACTCGGATCACTTGTACAATGTTCAGCATCACCGGCTAAAAAAATAGATACTGCGGCAACTGCAGCCATGGCCCTGGTATAACCACTGATACCTGATGTACGGGTATGTCCTAAGGGTGGCAAGTGGTAAAGCGAACCTTTGCCCAGACTATGCAAACAAGCTTGCATTCATCTCTAGCTGGGGGCATTGTGGAAAAATTTGTCTTCACGGGACAGCCTGTGGACTATTTCTTTAATTTGATCACTTTAACACTGTTTAACGTGAGATCTCCTTAGGAATCCTTGGGTTACCAGAATTGGGATGGCTCACTTTATTCTCAGAGCCCATAAAGCGTGGTTGTTCAGCTGGTACTGCTGACCTGGTCAACTGGAGCTCTCTGTTCAACAGGACAAGCACCAGGAAGAGCAGGATAAAATGTTCCATTCACACTAATGGAGACTGAATACACCACTGATCTTCACTAAGATCTACAAGAAGTCCAGGGAAGAAGCATGAAGAACCAAACCCCCAACACATTTTTCCTGGTCGTTCTTGAGATGTAATGGATAGGTAACCACATAATGATGAAGTGGAGCTCTGGGCAGTTGGACCTCTTTGTTCTGGTCAACTGGACAAGCAACAATAAGAGATGGATCTAACGGCAGTTGTTTGAATTCTGATGGATCTTTATTGGTGAGATTTGTGTATTGTCTTTCTTAGAATCTTTCTCACTTCTTGGTTCCTCAGGCTGTATATAAGTGGATTCAACATGGGTATCATCACAGTATAGAAAACAGAGGCTACCTTGTCTTTTTTGTCAAACGCAGCAGTAGGAGGACGCAAGTAGATGAAAAATACAGTTCCGTAGAAGATGGAAATACACATGATATGTGAAGAGCATGTACTGAAGGCCTTCTGCCTACCTTCAGCCGATTTCATCCGTAAGATAGAAGCCACGATAAGAGAGTAGGAGGACAGGACTGTCACCATGGAACCTATACCACAAGAACATGTGAAGAAGACCGTTACAGTGTCACATGGAAAAGTTCTAGAGCAGGACAATTTAAGTAGTGGAGGGATGTCACAGTAAAAGTGGTCAATAATGTTTGATGCACAGTAGTGGAGACTGAACACACAGCTAGTCTGCACTGAGGACTGCATGAAGCCAATGGATGAAGCCAGGACGACCAAACCCCAGCACTTCTTTTTGGTCATTATTGAGTTATAGTGGAGAGGGTGGCAGATAGCTGCATATCGGTCGTACGACATCCCTGATAGCAGAAGAGCCTCCGTGACTGCCAGGCCAGCAAAGAAAAATAGTTGAACAGCACAACCATTGTATGAGATGGGCTTTCTATCGGACCACAGGTCACACAGCATCTTAGGCGTTATCACGGAGGAGTAGCACAGGTCAACCGCAGACAGGTAGCTTAAGAAATAGTACATTGGGGTGTGGAAGTTTGAGGTGAGTTGGACCAGAGTAATCAATCCAGCATTGCCAACCAGAGTCACAGCATATACAAGCATGAAGAAGATGAAGAGGAACGGGACAAGTCTTCCATCATTGGTCAGTCCAGAAAATAGGAAGAAGCTAACTTGAGTCCTGTTGATGACCGCCATTATGTTGTCTGTAGTGGAAGTATAAATTACAGGTCAAGAGCTTGCAACACAAAAGAAATAAAAATAGTAAAATCAATCTATCTATCTATCTATCTATAGAATGCAGAATGTGGATATATGTTTGACATTTTTCCTAACATTCACTGACTATGAGCACAAATCCCATGAGAGCAGGCTCCTTCATTGAGCTGGTGAGCATCCTTGTGGGTTTCAGGGAACCCAGCCCTCTTACACATGCCTGCCTCTCGAAAGATGAAATAAACCTTTTGAATGTCCTATTTAAGCCATTTGTAGTCGGCGGTGAGAGACTGTGAGTAAAGCAGATGTTCCATTTTCTTGATAGGTCAACTTTAACAGTTTGATGTTGTACAAATTTTTCTAAGAGATTTTTAATTTTTTCAATTGATACCCAGTACAAGTTCATTTATGTATGTATGGTTTTGGATACAGTATAGAAGAGTTAAAACCACCTTATTTTTCGCTGGTTGTGTGCCATTAGGGTGATTTCACTTCCCGTCCCAAAGACACAAGGAAATGCAAGGAAATTGCCCAAAGTAAGAGGAATTGCCCACTTAGAGACTTTTCCCTGGAGTAGGTGTAGACATTGTAAGACTTTCTTACCTTTTGTTCTGGAGACAACTCACTTTCATTTCCAGAGGCAATGGTCACCAGGGGTGAACTGTGTAGACTCAAAATCACTACCTAGAGCTTATACAGGGCCAACTCTATTCATCCCGGAGGCTGATTGGAGTAGCATGGAAGAGAAGGGAAGCTGAGTATGTCCGTGGACATAGCACAGGTCCACTTTAAAAAAAAAAAAAAAAAAACATGCAACAACTCTCTCGTGTCTGTTGCCATCTGAAAGCAAACCTATGCCTTGCTCGTCCAGGCCAAGGCAACAGGTTTGCATTAAACCCCGTATGCTAGCTGTATATACTTCTTTTTCCTTTACTCCCCCACCACTCCACCAATTCAAAGGGGCAATTCCCACTGGCCACCAATGTAAACGGGACATTTCTCCACTGACGAGACATTTAAGGGGGCATTCTCCACTGACCACCAGTTCAGAGGGCATTCCTCCACTGGCTGACAATTCAAGGGGGCCTTCCTCCACTGGCCACCAATGCAAGGGGACATTCATCCATTGACCACCAATTCAAAGGGGGAATTCTCCACTAACTTTCAATTCCAGGGGGCATTTTTCTCCACTGGCCACCAATTCAAGGGTGCCTTCCTGCACTGACCACCAAGTCAAGGGGGAAATTTCCACTGACCACCAATTCAAGGGGACATTTCTGCACTGACCACCAATTCAAAGGGACATTTCTCCACTGACCACCAATTCAAGGGGACATTTTTCCACTGACCACCAATTCAAGAGGACATTTCTCAACCACCAAGTCAAGGGGCAATTCTCCACTGACTGCCAATTAAAGGGGGAAATTCTCAACTGACCACCAATTCAAGAGGGGGGGGGAATTCTTCAATTACCCCCAGTTCAAGATGACATTTCTCAATTGACCACCAATGCAAGGAGGGAATTCTCCACTGACCAACAAAATAATTTCAAGGGTTCCTCCAGGGTAAAAAGTTGAGAACGGTCAAGCTGAAGTACAAATACTCATGTCTTTGTTCATATACATTACATGGGGGATAAGTAGTTTAGGCATGGAATTTAAGATTGCTATATGCTTCCAGTTACAGGAGGTGACAGGGTGCCGCATATCTGGCAGGATCAAGAGGTGTTTTTGTATCCTGCAAAAATAAAATTCTAGGGACTGGTAAACTGCAATGTTTTAATTTTTTTAATTTTGGGTTTAGTCATGCTTCAACTGTAAGACATACAAACACATTAAGTGCCTTTGTAAAATGTGTAATCTGAATTAACCAGTGGTCTCCGAACTGCAGCCCAGTGGCTAGATATGGCCCTTTGCTTGCTTTTATCCAGCCCTTGGGTCATTATTCCCCCACTGTCAGCAACAGTGAGGCATAGTTTCTGACACCAACGATGGGGCACTATACATCCCACTGACACCAATGATGGGGCACTATTCCTCCCACTGACACCAATGATGGGGCATTATTATTCCCACTAACACCAACAATGGGACATTATTTCTCCCACTGATACCAATGGTGGGGAACCATTCCTCCTATTGATATCAACGATGGGGACTATTACTCCCCCTAATACCAATGATGCATTGTTTACTCCCACTGATTGCAGGACATTTTCTACTCCCACTGGCCATGTTTAAAGGACAGCTAACTGCCCTTTGTTTAGAAAGTTTGGAGACCCCTGGCGTAAACTGAGATCAAGCTTACCTTAAAGTAGCTGCATCTTCCAGAGAGATACAATAGTGCACTAAAGGTCCAGACTCACCTATAGCAAGTGAAGCTGCCATTGTGCATCTGCACTATAAACTAAATGGAAGGGCCATCTTCCATGGACATCAATGGTGAATCCTAGGCAAAAAAAAAAAAAAATCAATGATGTTAATTTAAAATGGTACATCATTTTAAGTCACCAAAAATCTGGTACTCAACATTTGGACATGAGTGGGGTTTTTATTGCTCAGGGAAAACCTAAATTTCGCTCTCCGCAGCAATGGCCTCAACCAGTCTATAACATTTATCTTTCACCTCCCCTAACCTTAACAATTACAGGGATTATACAAAATTATGGAAACACTACATGATTTGCAGGTGTGAAAGTGACGAAATGTTTCGCATTGAAAGCTGGAATGATGTAACATTCTTTTACTTCCACTGTGTGATGAGACACCTAGGTGGGAAGCCTTACTTTCATCAATCACTGGGTGCTCTGCCAGTAATATGGAGTCATGTCAGAGCTTACTAAGCTTCAAAGAGGGCAAATTGTTGGTGCCGCTTAGCTGGTGCCTCTGTGACTGAAGTTGCCAACTTATTTGCTGTGTCGTAAGGTGCAGTATCAAAGGTTATGGCGGCATATACAGTTTCTGGGGAAACGTCATCTAATGAGCATAAGCACGGCTGACATGGTCAACTGACCGAAAGAGACAAAAGGACATTGCGCAGGATTGTGACCCGGAATAAGAAAACAACTGCTGCAAAAGTGACTGCAGAGCTCAATCTCAGTCTTCACGTGCCCTGGTCCACAAACACTGTGTGGAGAGGGAACTCCATAAGCAAAACATATACAGTCGAGCTGCAATTGCCAAACCACTAGAAACCAATATTAATGCTTAGAAGAGGAGAGGGGCAACACCCATACTTCGTAGACTATCGATCAATGAAAGACTGTAATATGGTCCGGTGAAACGAGCTGCACACTGTTCCCAACCACCAGACATGTTTGTGTGGCGAACACCAACCCAAGCTACAACCAGGACTTGGCTTATGCCAACGGTAAAGCATTGTGGTGGCACAATCATGGTTTTGGAGGCCATATCTTAGCAAGTACCATCATCACCTTGAAAGGTAGAGTCACCGCTAGCGACTATGTCAAAGTTTGGCTGACCATGTGCACCTCGTGGTGCAGACATTGTAAGACCCTGAGCCATGAGCGTCTCCATGAATATCACTGGAATAAACTATAGTATACTCGTTTCTACATTGGCTGTTATAATGTATAGGAGGTTCAGCAATCACAGACCTGAGCCCAAATTCCTGGTGCACATGGTCAGCCAAAATTTGACATAGTCGCTAGCGGTGACTCTACCTTTCAAGGTGATGCTGGCGCTTGCAGAATACTAAGATATGGCCTCCCAAACTATGATTGTGCCACCACAATGCTTTACCATTGGCATAAGACAAGTCCTGGTTGTAAGCTTGGGTTACAACTGCTGGGACCACCTCATTCCTTTAAACCGGAACACATATGAATGACCCGGGTTCTGAGGATAATTTAATGCAGATAAGGCACTAAGGGAGTTTAATTACCACTTTAACCAACCACAGAACCCGTGTCATTAATATGTGTTCGGTTTTAAAGGGATGAGGTGGCGACCCTATCTGGGAGTGCAGTCGTTGCTGAAGCTGGTGGCACCCCAGTCCTCCTAAATTTTAATTATCAGAACCTTGTTATAAAAATACATATGTATATTTGTGCCTTCCTTCTTGGTCCCTTCTGCCCTGCTGAGTGTTGAAACCCCCTCAATAAGTACCCACACATTGGGTCCTGTGCGCCTAATCCCCCTCAATAAGCACCCTACACGTTGGTTCCTGTGAACTTAATACCCCTCAATAAGCACCCCACGCATTGGGTCCTGTGTGCTTAATACCCCTCAATAGGCACCCCACACGTTGGGTCCTGTGCCCTTAATACCCTTCAGTAAGCACCCCACATGTTGGGTCCTGTGTGCTGAATCCTCCTTAATAAGCACCCCACACATTGGGTTCTGTGAGCTGA